CGCACCTAAACCCAGACCGCCGGGTTGCCTGGTAGTTTCCCTGCTGACAAGATTCTTCTCATGTTTGCCCCATGAAAAGGGAGAGCAGCCAGGGGGCGGGATTCCTCTCCTGTAATGCCAACACACTGCACATCATGCTCTGGCCCCAGTATGCTTCTCCTTCAGATGATGGGAGGTTGGGCTAACCCAGTGGTCGGCAAACTCATTAGTCAACAGAGCCAAATATCAACAGCACAACGATTGAAATTTCTTTTGAGAGCCAAATTTTTTTAAACTTAAACTTCTCCTAATGCCTCTTCTTCAAAATAGACTTGCCCAGGCCGTGATATTTTGTGGAAGAGCCACACTCAAGGGGCCAAAGAGCCGCATATGGCTCGCGAGCCGCAGTTCGATGACCATGGGGCTAACCTGTGTTTTTTTTGGCTTTGTAAGTTTTCCCTTTTCCCCAAAGAAAACCTACCCCTTGAGCTAGTAGTTCTCAAATTTTAGTGTGTCTCGTGATTAGTTGGTGGGCTTGTTAAAACAGAGTTTTGGGCCCCACTTCCAGAATTTCTGGTTCAGGGATCCTGGAGTAGGGTCTGGGAATCTGCATTTCCAGCTTGTCCCCAGATGATGTTGATAGTGTGGTCAGGGGACCACTGAGAACCCGTACTAATTCATGTAGTATGTCTATGATAGAAATCAGCTCTGTTGCCTACCACAAAAAGTCCCTTTGCATAACCTTCTCCTGGGTGTAACCATTATCCTTTCTTATGCCTTACATACCTTTATAGTTTTACCACATAAGTAGGAATCCTTAACCAATAGATTTGGTCTTTATTTTAAAGTTATTGTTTTAAAGTTATGGAAACTGCATTATTCCTTAAGGGTTTTATATAGCTTGCTCTTTTCCCCCACTCACATCCAGGGTACAGTTACAATTAATTCGGTTTTATTGTTGTATACTATTCTTTTGTGTGAATATATCTATTGACAGACATTTGGCTTCTTATCAGGTTTTTGCTAGGAAGATGCTATGAACAGCTTCTTCTTTACTCTGTCATAGCTTCACCTTCAATTTATGAAAGGACCCAGTCTAGAGGGAACCCTCTGTCCTCTAGATCTTCCCCAAATCCTAACATCCCCTTATTGAGACACCCAGTGGTGTGTGTTCTCCCTTGCTCAATGAGTAATGAACTCAACTTGTTTCACTACAGGAGTCCCTATGGTCTTTAGCTGAAGGGCATCCTATATAATAAAAGGCTAATATGCAAATTTCCCCCAGGACTGGGAGTTCGACCCCACCAGCCTCCCACATACTCCCTCCCCACCCCCACCCCCGCCAGTGCATGAATTCGTGCACTGGGCCTCTAGTTGAAAAAATACTTTTACATACAAAATATGTAAGTACTTAATTAATATAAAGTTAAAATATCTTAATATTCTTAATAGTGCCTTTTGGGGAACAGTAGTTCTTAATTTTAGTTCAAGTTTTTAATCTCTTCCTTTATGGTTAGTGCTTTTTAATGTCATATTTAAGAAATACTGCTTTGGCCACAATTTAACTCAATTGGTTAAAGCATCATCCCGATACACCAAGGTTGTGGGTTTGATCCCTGGTCAGGGCACATAGAATCAACCAATCAATGTAAATAAATGAGACAACAAACAGAGGTCTCTTTCTCCCTCCCCTCCCCCTTTCCCGCTCTCTCCCACACTTAATTTCTTTCTAAAATCAATCAATAAATAAAAAATAAATACTCCAAGATAATACAGATATCTATTTTTTAAATTTCAAACTTATATCTTTAGTTCGTCTGAAAGTCATTTTTTCTGAGTGACACCATATGTGTATAGAGATCCAATCTTGTATTTTCCCATGTGGTAATCATTTTTCCTAGCACCAATTTATCCAATAGTAATTCCTTTTTTGCTTTTCCCCACATATGCAGAACCACTGTTTACCATTGTTAACGAAAAAAACCATTGAAACCTGCAAAGAATTTTTTTTGTGAGTTTATTTGAGCCTTACTGTCAACATATGCTGGGAAGCAGAACCTCAACGGATTGAGATAATGCTCCGGAGAATGGCGGCTTACATTTCTCTATTTATACACTGAAATCGAAGGAGGGACATAGGTGGGTTACATGAAATTCATTGGTGAGTGCAGGAACAATTAACATGATAACAAAGGAATTTGAGGCATCTGTCCTGGTGCTCACCACATTCGGTTGTGCCCCAGGGGCTCCTGAAAAGGGGAAGTTACAAGTTACCCAGACATCTCATAGATATGTTATCTTAGAGGCAAAAAGGCAAATGGGCTCAGTAAAAAGATCAAAGTTGATCTTTGGGAAAATATCTGGGACTTGACTACCTACTATAATGTGTTAGATATTTAATTTTCAAACCATCTTTTGTGGTTATCTTAGGTCTCTGGGTTTGCAAGACTGCCACGCAGGCCTTCCCTGAGCTTGTCAGGTTAGCATGTGGCTCTTTTCTTTCACACCATATATTAAATTTTTATCTATTCATGGGTTGGATTTTAGATTTTTAAAAATCTAATAACAGCCGAAACCGGTTTGGCTCAATGGATAGAGCGTCGGCTTGGGGACTGAAAGGTCCTGGGTTCGATTCCGGTCAAGGGCATGTACCTTGGTTGAGGGCACTTCCCCAGTAGGGGGTGTGCGAGAGGCAGCTGATCGATGACTCTCATTGATGTTTCTAACTCTCTATCTCTCTACCTTCCTCTCTGTACAAAATCAATAAAATATATTTTAAAAAATTAAAATCTAATAACAAATACAGATTAAGATTTTAAGATTGAAGTTTACAAGTTTCAAGACTTGTAAAAATACTTTTTAGATTAGTACATAAGTCACAAAACTATGTATAAAAATCAATGATGTTTAAATTGTTATCAGTTGATGTAATGATTCAGTAATTAAACTGATCAAGTTTTTTAAAAGATATAATTCAGAGTGCAAAAAGTTTAGTAAGACTATTGGTAGACAGAAGGCCAATTTCACTTCACAGATGTGTGTGTACTTAACAAAGTGATTGTTAGTGGATTTTCATGAAACTCCCAAATGGCACACAGTGGGTTTTTTTTATTTATTATTATTATCTTTCATAGATACATTATATCCCTCCCTTGTGTTTTTATATAGTGGGAGAATGTAAACTTTGAATTTTATATAGTACCCTGGCTGAGTTGCTCAGTTGGTTAGAGCATCATCCTGATACCCCAAGGTTTCAGGTTCAATCTTTGGTCAGCACACATACAGTCAGCAACCAATGAATGCATACACAAGTGTAACAACAAATTGATGTTTCTCCCCTTCTCCCTCTAAGATAAAGAAATAAAATAAAGTTTTATATAATAGTGAGGAAGAAACTGGTCTTGCAAAGCATAGCAGGCCATCAAAACCGTAAACAATGCACTGCGGGGGAGGGGGGAGGGGGCAAGGAGGGTGGTTATCACTGGCCATATCTATGATCAGCCCTGGGGACCCCCAACACCTGGGGGCCTTCCTGTAGCCCAGGAAAGGGGGCGGAGTCATCTGTAAGACAAAGACCCCAGAAGGTTATAAAAAGGGAAGCCCTCTGTGTGTTTCTTCACTCTGATTTGGAAATTATTCTGGGAGTCCACTACTGTTAATAAACAGGGTCCCTCCCTTTCTCTAGGAAGCGTGCTTAGTATTTCTTTGGTCTTCTGCAGCAATAGAAATATATAATAGAAACCTTGGCTTTTGAAGACACAGGAGAGTTTGAAATAAAATGGTAAAAGCAGGAATAGATCGGAAGGGTGGGAGGGAGAGAATGCCCCCCCCCCAATGAAAAAAACAACAACACACACACACACACAAAAAAGAAAACATGGATTGATTCATAGATTTCTGCACTTGGGGGACAAGAGAAAATAAGTCTAATGTGGCCCCAGTGTTGAAAGTTACAGAAATTTGAGATGATGGATCACTGACATATTTGAGTAAGGTAGTGAGGGGGTGGCCTGTTTGGGGAAATAGATGTGTTTTTTTTTCTCCTCCCAAGTCTGTTGCTTCTAAACTTTCCTCAGGAAAATTTTCAAGATCTTTGAAATCTGTGTTAAGCCTCCAAAAGTAAAAAAGTTAAAAATCCAAAGCTTTAGATGGCTAATTAAAAAAATTTGGTCAGTTTTTTCTTAAATAGGTAACAAGTGCCTAATTTTCATGTAAATTCATTGTTTTTTATATTTTGTTGATTTTTTTTTTTTTTTTTTTTTTTTTTTTTTTTTTTAACAGAGAGAAAGGGAAAGGGATAGGCAGTTAGAAACATTCATCAGAGAGAATCATCCATCAGCTGCCTCCTGCACACCCCTTACAGGGAATGTGCCCCCAACCCAGGTACATGCCCTTGACTGGAATCAAACCTGGGACCCTTCAGTCCGCAGGCTGACGCTTTATCCACTGAGCCAAATCTGTTAGGGCTGTTTTAAACATCAGATTCCAATAGTATATAAACCGGATCCACAGGAAGCAGTCCAGGAAAGAACTTGAATGGGAGTGAAGAGATGAGGCTCTTCCTTGAGGTTCTGCCACTCCTCTCTGCGGCAATGGGGATAACGTGTACAGATCTGAGGTTCCAGTATGGCCTATGGCTCTCTCTGGGATCCCTACATTTCCTCGTAGCGCGAAAGTTCTAAGTCTCCCTCCTTAAGCAAGAGTAAAATGTATCCCTGTGAATTCAACTTATCCTGCAGTTGGGCTGCAGCCACGCATTTGTCAGGGGAGTCACAGGGTCACTTCTCCCCAGTCCTCAACCCCTGGAGCTTCTGGTGGCCTGGCAGTGGATAGGCTCTGAAGGACTCCAATCGTACAGGTAAGGTCCTCGGCCAGGAAACGTGCAAAAGAGGAACACCAAAGGGTGCTCCCTCTTACAGCCTCCATCACAACAAACCACACGCCAGAGCTGCAAAGGCGCCCTGCTTCCTGCGGGCCACGCTCTCCACCCGGTAAGACCCCGCCCTTTTAGTTCGCTTTCCGGCCAGAAGCTCTTTTCCTGCCGAAGCCGGTGTGGGCCTATGTCTTCGGAGACTCGCTCGGACTTCAGAGGAGTCGTGGGAAGTGGCCTAAGCAGGACTCCGTCAGGATGGACGCCCGGGCAGCCAGGAGGGGAGCGCTCCGGGGTCGCAGGGGCGCGCCCCGGGCCACGCTGGGAACTCGGGGAGCCTTGGCCCCGCCTGACCCGGAAGGGCTGGAGCGTGGTAACCCCGGCTTCCCTAGCAACCGAGCCTCAGTGCGCGTCCCGACCGGCCGCTGTGGCCTCTCGCTGGGCCCGCCTCCGGGATGCCCCTGCAGGTCAGCGATTACAGCTGGCAGCAGACGGAGTCCGCAGTCTTCCTCTCCGTGCCGCTCCGGGGCGTCTCCGTCAGGGACGCGGACGTGTTCTGCGCGGAAAACTACCTGAAGGTAGGAACGCGGGGGCGCCCGCCTCCGGCGCCAGGGGGTGCCCCGCGGCTCCGGGAGTGCGCCCCTGTGCGCGCGCATCCGGAGCGTCCGTGCACGTGGCCTCCCCAAAAGTTAGTGCCATTGAAGCCGGCAACGAAGGTATTCCATGCAGGTGGCACCAGATGCTATCAAATCAGAGTGTTTTTATGCACAGCTTCCCACATAAGCCGGGCGAATCTTCCGCGACCTGGAATAAATTTATAGCATTTATTTAAGAAATAACTGCGGCCGGGACCGGTTTGGCTCAATGGATAGAGCGTCGGCTTGGGGAATGAAGGGCCCCGGGTTCGATTCCGGTCAAGGGCATGTACCTTGGTTGCGGGCACATTCCCAGTAGGGGGTGTGCAAGAGGCAGCTGATCGATGACTCTCTCATCGATGTTACTAACTATCTCTCTCCCTTCCTCTCTGTATAAAAATAAATAAAATATATTAAAGAAAAAGAAAAAGAAATAACTGTGGCCGAAACCGGTTTGGCTCAATGGATAGAACGTCGGTTGACTGAAGGGTCCCGGGTTCGATTCAGGTCAGGGGCATGTACCTTGGTTGCGGGCACATCCCCAGTAGGGGGTGTGCAAGAGGCAGCTGATCGATGTTTCTGACTCTCTATTCCTCTCCCTTCCTTTCTGTAAAAAATCAATAAAATATGTGTGGGGTTTTTTTTTGGTTTTTTTTTTAAAGAAATGATTGTGGTCTCTATCACGCATTTCTTAACAGCTGTGTTCTTAATTTGTGGAACTGAATTAACTTTCGTTTCCTCCCCTTCTGAATAGGTCAACTTTGCTCCATTTTTATTTGAGGTGTTTCTCTACGCTCCCATAGATGATGAGAGCAGCCAGGCCAAGATTGGGAATGACACCATTGTTTTCACCTTACGTAAAAAAGAAGCCGTCATGTGGGAGGCCCTTTCTGTGTCAGGTGGTAAGTTCTTTATTAAAAGATGTTTTTATGTTTTATGCCTTTGAAAAAATTTGTCTTTTGAAACAATTATAGTGCTCTTCTAGAAAAAAGAAATAGGCACATGAGCATGATTCAAATGAAATAGTGCTTCAGCTGCCACTTAAATAACCTAAAAATGGAATGATTCAAAAGTTAGAGCACATTAATAATTACTCTTGCCCTGGCTGTTTTGCTCAGTGGTTAGAGCATTGGCCTGCAGACTGAAAGGTTCTGGTTAAGGGCAGTTACTCTGGTTGCAGGCTCAGCTGGGTCGTGGTGTGTGTGGGAAGCAACCAGTCCATGCATCTCTCATGAATAGATATTTCTCTCTCTGTATCTCTCCCCATCCCTTCCATTCTCGCTTAAAAAAAACAAAAAACACACACACACAACAAAAATCAATAAAAAAAATTCCCTCGGGTGAGGATTAACAACAAGATAATAATAATAATAATAACTCTTAAGCAGAAAATGTGGGCTTATAACCTTTATTGAGCACTTATTTTGTACTAGGAATTAACACATCTGCTAATCCTCATAACAACCTATCACTTGAGTATACCCCACTGCCTGCCTTTTGTATTTATTTATTTATTTATTTATTTATTTATTTTAAAATATGTTTTATTGATTTTTTTATAGAGAAGAGGGATAGAGAATTAGAAACATCGATGAGAGAGAAACATCCATCAGCTGCCTCCTGCACACTCCTTACTGGGGGATGTGCCCCCAACCAAGGTACATGCCCTTGACCGGAATCCAACCTGGGACCCTTCAGTCCACAGGCCGACACTCTATCCACTGAGCCAAACCGGTTAGGGCCTGCCTGCCTTTTTTTAAAGGTGAGGCTACTGTGGCACTGAGAGTTTAGTAATTGACAAAGGTCACTCATCTAGTAAGTGCTAGATTGAAATTGGAGCCTTAGCAGTTTGATTGTAGAATGGTGGCTCTCAACCCTGGTTATATAATTGAAATATCTTAGATCTTTTAAATAATACAGAGGTCTTAAACCTTAGGCCAATCAAACCAGTTTCAAGGAGTGGGCCCCAGTGTTGGTAGTTTATTAAAAAGCTTCAGGGATTATAATGTGTAAAATTACGATTCCTTATTCTCTCTACTCTTTGCTTAAAATGTATTTTTATTCATTTCAGAGAGGAAAGAAGAAGGAGAGAGATAGAAACATCAATGATGAGAGAGTCATTGATCAGCTGCCTTTCGCAGACCCCACATTGGGGATTGAGCCCACAATCCGAACATGTGCCCTGACCATGAATCAAACCCTGACCTGATTAATAGGTTGATGCTCAACCACTGAGCAATACCAGCTGGTCCTCTGTACTCTTAATCTTTACTCTTTTCTTCTGCCAAGATAGCTTTGTTGGTTGGCATTTGCCCTCTACTGCTTTAGCTCTGTCTTCTTCCTCCCTCTTCTGGTTTTTATGTTTTACAGTATTTTATATCTGCTGCCTGAAATTTCTCTTAATTCTTTGGTAGTGGGGAATATTAAGAATGGAGGGATTGCCCTACCCGATTTGGCTCAGTGATAGAGCACCGGTCTCCGGACTGCAGGGTCCTGGGTTCCATTCTGGTCAAGGGGGTTGCAGGCTCAATCCCCCACCCTGATTGGGTCACAAGTGGGAGGCAACCAATCTATATGTCTTTCTCACATCAGTGTTTCTCTCTCTGTCTCTCCCCTCTCCCTTCCACTCTCTCTAAAAATATCAATGGAAAAATATATTCTGGTGAGTATTAACAACAACAAAAAAAATGGAGAGTTTGCAATCATTCTTTATAGAAATACTTTATTGGTATCTTGCAGTAGAATTTAACTTTTTAATCTTCAGACTTAGAATGTACATGTTAATGTAGGTTACCATAGCTAGGTTACATTTGTGAGTCCCAGACTAACAGGATTTCTTTTAAAAAAAACAATAGCAAACAGATTCCTACTCTCGTGCCCCAGCCTTCCTCTGTGGTTCAGTAAACCTGAGGTGGGACCTGGAATATGTCATGAAATACACTCAGGCTGTTCCAGCTTTTTACCTAAGATTAAATGTAAATCCTTTCATTAATTTCAGTTCTTGTTGATAATCTTAATTTTGCCAGAACTGTCATCTACTATAATGGCTTATCCTACATAATAAAAGAGTAATATGCAAATTGATCATCACTCCAACACACAAGATGGCAGTCACAAGTTGGCCAGCAGGGGAGGGAAGTTGGGAGGGACCACAAGATGGCCTGCAAGGGAGGGCAGTTGGAGGGAGGGGGACCCAGGTCTGCAGGGGAGGGCAGGTGAGGGGGACCCAGGCCAGCAGGGGAGGACAGTTGGGGGGGACCAGGTCTACAGAAGAGGGCAGTTGTAAGGAACCAGACCTGCAGGGGAGGGCAGTTAGGGGTGACCAGGCTGGCAAGGGAGGGCAGTTAGGGGTGACTGGGCCAGCAGGGGAGGGCAGTTGGGGGTGACCAGGTGGCAGGGGAGGGTAATTAGGGGCAATTGGGCTGGCAGGGGAGCAGTTAGGCGTCGATCAGGCTGGCAGAGGAGTAGTTAGGGGGTGATCAGACTGGCAGGCAGAAGAGGTAGTGGAGGCAATCAGGCAAGCAGGCAGGTGAGCAGTTGGGAGCCAGCAATCCTGGATTGTGAGAGGGATGTCCAACTGTCTGTTTAGACCAGATCCCAGTAGAACCGGGCCTAAACGGGCAGTTGGACATCCCTCAAGGGGTCCCAGATTGGAGAGGGTGCAGGGTGGGCTGAGGGTCACCCCCAATCCCCATGCACGAATTTCATGACTGGGCCTCTAGTCTATACTAATAAAAGGTAACATGCTAATTAGACCAGGAGACCTTTAGGACAAAGCCATGGTGGTGGGGCCGAGGCAGAGGCGATTAGAGGCTAACAGGCCAGCGGGGGCATAGCGGGTGGGGAGGGGCAGTTGGGGGCGATCAGGCCAGTTGGGGGCGCAGTTAGGGGTGATCAGGCTGGAAGAGGGGGGCAGTTGGGATTGATCAGGCCAGCAGGCAGAGTGGTTAGGGGTGATCAGGCAGGTAGGCATGTGAGTGGTTAGGAGCTAGTGGTCCCAGATTGTGAAAAGGATGTCCGACTGCCGGTTTAGGCCCGATCCCTGAGTATAAACTAGCAGTTAGACAGCCAAGGCGCCTGGAGTTCCCAGCGTGGCCCCGGGCGCGCCCCTTCGACCCTGGCGCGCTCCCCTCCTGGCTGCCTGGGCGTCCATCCTGGCGGAGTCAGGGCACATGCCCGGATTGGGGGCTCAATCCCCAGTGTGGGGTGTGCAGGAGGCAGCTGATCAATGATTCTCTCATCCTTGATGTTTCTTTTTTTAATTTTTATTAAATTTCTTTATTGATTAAGGTATCACATATTTGTCCTCAATCCCCCATTCCAATCCCCCACCCCTCCCCACTCATGCCCCCTCCTCCCTATTATCCTTGACCACTGGTTAGGCTCATGTGTATGCACACAAGTCCTTTGGTTGATCTCTCCCTTTTTTTCCCACCCTCCCTTTGAGATCCAACAGTCTGACCCATGGCTCCCTATCTCTGGGTCTGTTCTTGTTCATCAGTCTATGTTGTTCACCATTTCTCCTAGATGAGTGTGATCATGTCCTACTGGAGATATACTTATAAAAATCCAAAATGAGACAAGCAATAATGGTTATGCTGAAAGGCATATGAATCACATCATTGATGTTTCTATCTCTCCCTCTTCATTCCTCTCTGGAATCAATAAAAATACATATTTTTTAAAAACATTATGAGGGGTCTATAAGGCTTTAACTATTCTGCTAAAAGATCTGTTGCACCAAAAATGTTAGGAACCGCCAAAACCGGTTTGGCTCGGTGGATAGAGCGTCGGCCTGCGGACTGAAGAATCCCAGGTTCGATTCCGGTCAGGGGCATGTATCTTGGTTGCGGGCACATCCCCAGTAGGGGGTGTGCAGGAGGCAGCTGGTTGATGATTCTCTCTTATTGATGTTTCTAGCTCTCTATCTCTCTCCCTTCCTCTCTGCAAAAAAATCAATAAAATATATTAAAAAAAAAAAAAAAGTTAGGAACCCCTGCCTAGGACCTGCTTCATCCCCACCCCTCCCTCTACTCTTCTCTCCCCCAGGTCACCCTCTCCCCTCAAGTTTCTTCCCCTGTTTTTTTTGCCCCTCCAAGTCTAGCTTCCTTTCCTGATCCCACTTCCCCTAAGGTAATTTACCCTCTCCCTAATGGACTGCAGCCTGTGTGTAAAACACATAAAAATAATTGTGAATGGTAAAATTCTATATATAACAAGTCATGTTACTTTATTATAATTTTTCCTAGGACTGGCTCTGAACTCATATGTATAAATTACCTTTTATGTTTATAAAGGTGATTGATCATATCAGATAGACACAACTCATTTTTTTCTATACCTCATATTGCTGATTTATTGCAATCAGGTTTATAAACAAATAACTTTCTCAACAGAGAGGAGGGTAAGTGTGTTTCTCCTCAACTTGTCTCCTCCCCACTATCTTTCCTTCTCCCTCTCTGATCCGCTCTCTTTCTGCTGTCCTTTCCCTCTTGTACCTCTCTGTTCTATCTCTCTCCCTCTCTGCCCTTCCTCATTTTCCCCTTTATTCCCCCCTCCGTTGTTCCTCCTCTCTTTCATTCATATTCTGCCCCACCCCCTCGTTCTGTAGTAATTTCTATACAGTTACTCACTTACCTTTTAATGTTAGCTTCTTGGCCAGTTTAATATTGAGAAACATTTTCATTTCTCCATGTGAAGTTGGGTCCAAAAAATATATCATCCCGAGTCATAATCTTAAGCAGTTCTCTCCTAAATACTAGTAAAACAAATTTATCATAATCCTAATTTAGTGATTTTCCTTCTGTTTTAGTTGACAAAGAGATGATGCAAAGAATAAGAGAAAAATCTATTTTAAAAGCACAAGAAAGAGCAAAAGAAGCTATAGAAGCAAAAGCTGCAACAAGGCGGGAAGATCAAAAATATGCACTAAATGTCATGATGAAGGTAAGTTGCAAGTAGGAAAGTCCTCCAATTAAAGAGATGATAATAGACATGTAAGGATAAGTAGTCCTAACCACTACACTTCCTCACCTCTTTGTTCATACATTGGTTATTGGACTTACTAATAACTAACTTAATAAGTTATCTACTGCTTACATGTGTTCCTGAAAATATTTATGAAAGTTGAATAATAATAGATTTACTTGTTTCGGTGAGAATTTTCTATTTCCAGGGGAGTCAGTAATGGAAAGGTTTTATGGTGTATTTTACCTCTTTCTTAATCTTGGAATAATGAACACAATAGTTTAACGCAAGAAAAACACTAAATATTGACAAATGAACATTTTTTTAACTGTTGAGGATTTCAAGTTAAAACTTCAATCAGCAATATTTTTTGAGGTATAACTCACCATACAATTCACCCATTTAAAGCTTACAACTCATTGGTTTTTAGTATGTTGAGAGTTGTGCAACCATCATCACAATCAATTCTGGAACATTTTCATCACCCCAAAAAGAATCCCAGCCTAGCCCGTTTGGCTTAGAGGCCAGAGAGTCCGCTGCGGACCTGGGTTCAATTCTGGTCAGGGCGTGTATCTCTGTTGCCGGCTCTATCATCCCCAGCCCTGGTTTGGGTGTGTGGGGGAGGCAACCAGTCAATGTCTCTGTATCTGTCTCTATCCCTCCCTTCCACTCTCTGGAAAAATTAATGGAAAAAATATCCTTGGGGGAGGATTAACATACATACATTACATAAGTATTTTTTAGTTACTTGCATAGACTTTAATTGTGGAATCAATCTAGTCTCCTTTGGATATATAGCTGCTGATGTCTATGCTAAGTTTTTAGTTCATGTTTTTTAGACTAGCTTCCTTAGAGGCTCTTCCCTGTGTCTGTGTAGCTTAATGGTTGGCTCATGATTTGAGCAGAGGTGGTAAAGGCGCCACCCTTTGCCAATTGATGTATGTGTAGGTTTGAGAATACTTTCAAAGTTGGAGCCAGTTCTCATGACTCCTTGGCTTCATTTTATGGCAGTTTTCCTCAGGTCTTCCCATAAATACATAGCTTTCTGGTTAGCCAGTGTTGTATGGTGAGTTTATCACTTTTTTTTTTTTTTTTTTTTTTTTTACAGCTCTCTCATTTATATGATCTCTATGTGAATTTTCTGTCTAGTCAGGCACTTACCCTAACCGGGAGCACAAACTCAGACCTCAACTGCAAATTTTTCTTGTTTATTCATTCCCAACCAAATCTACTGCTTTTATCCACCAAAGCCGCAGGGTTTGGCTGCCCCACCCTGAAGTGGGTCCATCCTTTTTGCCAACAAAGCTTCTATTTTTTCTTATTTTTTATTGTTGTTGTTGCTAACTTCATGTTGGTAACTTCCAGTCTTGTTATTCTAGCTGGAAGTTGGTGGCTGAGAGCAACCTCGGGCAAGAAAGCACAGTCTCCCACTGTTCTTAGCTGTAACTTGGGCAGTTTTTCCAAAACAAACACTTCTCAATTTGCAGGCTGTCTTTGGTTAATTTCCAGTGACTTGAAATGGTTGTTTTTGATAGATTTTTCCAGTTTTATACTTGACTAGAGGCCTGGTGCACGAAATTCTTACACTCGGGGAGATCCCTCAGCCTGGCCTGTGCCCTCTTGCAGTCCAGGAGCCCTTGGGGGATGTCCTAAGCTGGCAGTCGGACATCATTAGTGCTGCCACAGAGGTGGGAACGGCTCCCGCCACCGCCACTGTACTTACCAGCTGTGAGCCTGGCTTCTGGCTAAGTGGTGCTCCCCCTGTAGGAGCACACTGACAGCTCCTGCACTGAGCGTCTGCCCCCTGGTGGTCAGTGTGCATTATAGCAACCTGTTGTTCCACCGTTTGGTCTATTTGCATATTAGCCTTTTATTATATAGGATATTTGTAGGTGGGAACTGCCAGCCTCTTCATGCCTCTATAAAACTGGAAGATTTTGTTTTGCCTATGAATTTTACATTTATTTATCAGAAGTCTAAGAAGTCCTCTTGGTATTTTGAATAGATTTATATTAATTTTAGAAATTGATTTGTCATTAACATATTTACAATAATGAGATTTCTCTCCAGGGACATACCATTTATCTCCATTTCTTCAACTTACTTTATATCCCCAGCAGAATTATTTAACAAAAGTGAGACTTGTTCATCTATACATATCCAAAATGTCCCCTCTGGTGTTTGACCAGGAGACCAGGAGACCAGGAGTTCAGTCACTCGTTATGATGTGCAATGACCAGGGGGCAGCGCAGAACATGTCGGGCGACCAGCAGTGGCAGTGGCCAAGTGCTAAGGGAGCAAGGGAAGGAGGAGGCAGGGAGGCAGGGGGGAAACATGTGGTGGCAACATGTGGGCAGGCAGTGAGGGAAGGAGAAGGCAGGGAGGCGAGAATCTGATCAGCCCTGATTGCTGACTAGTCCTAGGGACCTTACCCATGTATGAATTTTGTACATTGGGCCTCTAGTATTTCATAAAGCTTATTTTTAGCCTTTTAAAAGTTTTTCTGGCAGTTACTAATGAATGATTTTCCACCGTATTTTTCTAATCGCTTATTGCCAGTTTGTAAGTAAGTTAATTTGTTTTTATGAGTTTGTATGAGTTGATCTTGAAAGTGAATGCCTTGCTGAACTTACTCTTTGGTTGCAATAGTTTGTCAGTTTGTTATTTTGGTTCTTTTAGGTATTCTGTCATATTATTTGCAACTAATGACATTCTATCTCCTTATAATCCATATTTATGTTTCTTATTTTAAAAATTCCTCTAGGAAAATAGGAAAATAGTAGGCATACTGGCCTTAGTGACTTTGCTAGTAGTACTTCCAGTGCTTCTCCATGAAATTGGACATTGTATGGGTCCTTTTAGCAAGCTAATTTTTTTCTGTTGTTTCAGGTATCAACTAATATTTTTGCCATGTACTAGGTCATGTTGTTTTTTCCCTTTAGATTTTTCATTATTATATATAAGAAACACCCTATTTGATCAAGAAGTATTATTTAATACTTTCCTCAGATTAGTGTGCTATTTTATTTATGAATTTTTGCATATAGCTTATAAGTAACATCTATAATAATAAAAGCATAATATGCAAATCAATCAAATGGCTGAACAGCGGAAAGACCATCTGGACGACCTCCTGGTTGAAGCCAGGGCTGCAAAGGCCAAGGCAGCCACTGGGATTGCAGCTGCTGGCCTTCGAAGGCCTAGTCTTGCACAAATTCCATGCATCAGGCCTCTAGTTGATTTATAAAGAATATTGCCTTGATAAACCATTCATTCTAAATGAAAAGAAATACAAACTTTCTCTTCAGGAATTACTCATCCATCTGCTATTAGTTAAAGTTGCTGTCTGTAGTAAAGTTAATATCACATACTTATGGCATCTTTTTTTGAGCAATACAAAGAACTTAAAATTCAATTTCTTCCTGTGTGATGACTGTTTTTCTAGCCTTCTGGGTTTTTCTGTTACTAAACATTCCTCCGTTTATGGTATATTCCCCATATTACTTTGTTTTTAAAGAAGAGAACTTCAAGGATTGTTTAACATCTATCTGTCTTTCTTTGTTTCTCTTTGATGTAGATAGTCTCTCTTTTCCTTTTATCATAGCTTATGGTATTACCTTCCTCAGGTTTTTCTCTTATTTCTAGATTCTTCTGTCACGTGCTCTGTGAAGCTTTTCTTGGTCCTTCCTCTTCCCCTTGACTCCATCAAGACTTATACTATTTTTTTGTCTTTAAGTTAGCTTATTACAAATTTGTATATATATATATATATATATATATATATATATATATATATATATACACACACACACACACACACACACACACACACACATCCCTTAACTACATATTGGCTACAATAACAGAACATTCCCGTTTCTTTTGATTATAAGAATAGTCTCTTTTTGGTAATTAAGACTGTCTTAGCAGTTTTTAAAACTTCAACATTCACTTCACTTACAGGTATTATGAAGAGTGAGAGTGTCCTGACTTTCTCCTTCTTCCCTGTGTTGGGGAAGAGAGGGAGGGAAGGAAGAAAGGCAAACGTATCATTAAACTGGGTGAAGTTGTCATCTTCTCCTTTTAGGTGGTGGCTGCCTCTGGCTAACGCTGACTGCTCATCATCCCTGTTGTCAGGCACTAAAAGCTGGCTCATTGCTACATGCAGATTCTTCCCAGCCCAGCCTACTGGCAGCTCTTTGAATGCGCAGTAATTAGCATCTTTTGTGCTTAGTTTAGGCCTGAGGTGCAATTCTGGGACTCCAGGAAACTCCTGTTCAGTAATCTGTGACATCTATTTTAAAGTCAGTGCTACACAGTTCAGTAGAAAAATAGGCAGTCTTCCAAAAGAGGGCACGGTATTAAATCATGCAGATGTTACAGAGCACTTCAGAATAGCTTTCAAACGGATATGTTAATTCTCTATCAGCTTGTCATTCTTTTGCTTTGCAAGATGTATTATCTAAATTTAAATGTAAATTAATGAAACACATAAAATTAAAAATAACTTTTTTTGGTCTTTTTTTATCAACTTTCACCCAAGGATATATTTTCCATTGCCTTTTTTTAAATGAAAAGAGTGGAAGGGAGAGAGGAAGAGGGAAAGGGAGAAATAGAGAGATGCATTGATGTTAGAGAAACACATCAATCAGTTGCTTCTCACATGTGTCCCAAACTGGAGATCTGAACCTGCAACCCAGGTATTATATGTGCCCTTGACCAGGAATCGAACCAAAGACCCTTTGATATTTGGGTCAGTGCTCTAACCACTGACCTATTAAGTTATTTAATAGTTTCAATACTTCAAACATTGTATTTAAAATATTTTTGAACTCTAGTAATCAGTTTTCACTGTACTTTCAAGGTAACTGATGCTAATGTGCTAGTCATCTAGATCAATGAAGTAAAGCACTAAGAATTTGAGACACTTGTTTAAAATCTCACAACTAATAGTTTTCCTTGAACTTGTTTTCCCCCCAATATTTGTTTATGACCACACCGGCCAGGGTTACTCTAGTCACATTTTATACATACTCAGTTAACAACACGTGGTAGCAGCTACTGACTTGGATTGCACAGAACTTTACCATCATCGAAAAAAGTTTTGTCAGACACAGCTTCTCTAGAGGAGAGAGGTATGAAATTTTATTCTCCAGAGGAGAAAGATGGGAATATTTTTATTTATTATTTATTTATTGTAATCCTCATCTGAGGGCATGTTTTTATTTATTTTAGAGAGAGAAAGGTATATAGAGAGAAATATCTATGTAAGACAGAAACAACAATTGGTTGCCCCTTATCTGTGCCCCAACCGGGAATCGACCTGCAACCTGGGCGTGTGCCCGGACTGGGAGTTGAAACTGAGACCCTTCTTTCTTTCTTTCTCCCTCTCCCTTCCTCTCTCTAAATTCAATAAAAACATATCCGTGGGTGAGGGTTTAAAAAAAAAAAGTTTTGGTAATTGTAATTTTTACAGATTGAAGATGAAGAGAGGAAAAAAATAGAACAAATAAAAGAAAATGAACGAATAAAAGCAACTAGAGAACTGGAAGCCTGGAAAAAACAACAAAGAAAAGCTGAAGAACAAAAAAGAACTCAAAGAGAAGATAAGTTACATCAACAAGAAAAGCAAATAGAAGAGGGAAAGAAATTAAAACATAAAAGTTTTCCTAGAAATTCGACAACTAGAAATCTTGCCACAAAAGGTACAATGATTACTTTAATAATTTTTTTGGAAAGTGAGTCCCGGTCCTGAAGTATATAGGTTTTTGTTGTTGTTGTTGTAATCAATTTACAATATTAGTTTGTTATTTTGGCATATTAGGATAGTATTGCAAAAAAAAAATTAAGGTGAAATTTATTTTTTTATTTTAGAAAGTAGTGACTTTTTAAAAAATGAGCAAGGATTCAGTGTTCGTTTTGCTTGTGTGCTTTCTTTTGAAATTTATGTAGGTATTGTTAAATATGTATTTAATTCAAATCCAAAAAAGTCTTGGAGTGGCCTGGTTGGTGTAACTTAGTGGTTGAGCTACAACCCATAGTACAAGAGGTCACAGTTTGATTCCTGGTCAGGGAACATGCTTGGGTTGTGGGCTCCATCCTCAGTGTGGGGCATGCAGGAGGCAGCCGATCACTTATTCTCTCTCATCTTTGATGTTCTTATAGTATCTGTATCCCTCTCCCTTCCTCTCTGAAATCAATAATATATATATATTTTTTTAGAATTTTTTTTTAAATTACTGGATTGAACTGTCAGTGCCAGGAACATTCATTTATTCCTTCAGAGATAATAAACTAGGAATATTGTTAAAAGACTTTTTCCTCTCATGACTCAAGAAGATGCATACTACTAAGCAAACTTAATATCAAGCAAACAAGAGTTCTTCTGGACTTGGATCCTGATGTGTTAAAAAATAGTTAAAAGAACATATTTCTTTATTGAAAGCTAAGAGGTTGATTTTATTTCATCTTAGAATATTAAACTTTATTTTGTATATATTTAGCAAATGGAACATTTTGTAGTAAAATCACTAATGTAATTATCCTATTTAATAAAAACCCAGTATGCAAATTATCCCCTTGGGCAGTCGTTCACCCAAGAAACTGGGAGTTTGACCACTTGCTATGAGGTGCATTGACCACCAGGGGGTGGCGCAGAACATGGCAGGCTTTGGAGACATGCTGCGACCTCTCGTTGGCTCCCTGGGGCAGGGGTGGCGAGGAAGGAGGAGCAGTGAGAATGCGGTGTATCCGTCAAGCTCACTCTCACTCCCTCTGATGCCCTCCCCCGGGCACCAGGGCTCTGTGCCGGGGAAGCCCCCGTTTCGAGTGCCTGCCCCGCACCCGCGCAGCCTCTTCTGGGTGAGCCCAGCCCCAGCCACCGGGACCACAGGGGCCAGTCCAGGAGAGAGCACACCGCCCACCTGGCTTCCATGTGGCGCTGCGGGGCAGCCCGGAGGCCCATGCTGTGCCCCAGCCTTCAGCATGTGTGGCACTGTGACTCAGAAGGAGGGGGGCACCAATTTTGTGCACTGGGCCTCTAGTATTACCGTATTTTTTGGACCATAAGATGCACCAGACCATAAGACGCACCAGTTTTTAGAGAAGGGAAATGAAGAAAAAAAGATTCTGAAACAAATAGTGTCCTAAAATATTTTATGTGCATTAAAACCCAACATCACAGTCATAAACACATGTAATCAACCCTGTAAAGTAAACAGCAGCATTTAGAACCATTTTAGAGTCGGGCAAGCACACAGAGACCACACAGAGCCGGGCAAGTAAAAAAACTTTTTTTTAAAGTATATGTGTAGGCTATATTTGGACCATAAGATGCAGGGACGTTTTCCCCCCACTTCTGGGGGGAAAAAAGTGCGTCTTATGGTCCGAAAAATACGGTAATTAACATTGGTGATCACTCTATGCCAGGTTTCTTATTGGATGTATCACTCAGTCTTCACAACAATACTTTGTGATAAGTGCTGCTATTCTTATTTTAGAGGAAATGTTCAGAAAGGATAAATACCTCATAAGTAAGCCTGTATGATTTGAACACAAATCTATCTACATCTGAAACCTATGTTCTTTCTACTCAGTTATATGTCTATAACCTAACTATAACCTCTACTTTAACAGTGAGAGCTAGCATATTGAAAAGTTCTTTGGAGTGAGTATTAAGCAATAATCATTATTGATTTTATTGTGGTTTAATATTTACATGCAAGTTAACTTCCACAATATCTCCTTCTTTAATGACATTTCAACAAAATATGCCAACTAGAGTATATGAAAACATTTTCTTCCATATTTTAAATACTGATAAATAAACTGGATGTTTTCAAGTACTATTGGAACCCGCCCTAGCCAGTTTGGCTCAGTGGATAGAGCATTGGCCTGGTCAAGGGCACATACCTTGGTGCAGGCTCCTTCCCTCCTTGGGCCCTGGTTGGGGCGCATTCAGGAGGCAACCAATCGATGTGTTTCTCTAAATTTACTAATATTTTATAAGTGACTTTATGTTTATCTTCATATTGAGATTCACATACATTTTAAAAATGTTTCCTTGTTGCCTGGTCAGCATAGCTCAGTGGTTGAGCATTGACCTATGAACCAGGAAGTAGTGATTCAATTCTCAGTCAGGGCACCTGTGGGGGTTGCAGGCTCTATCCCCAGTGGGGCCATGCAGAAGGTGGCTGATCAGTGATTCTCTTTCATAATTAATGATTCTGTGTCTTTCTCCCTCTCCCTTCTTTCTGAAATCAATAAGAACATATTTTAAAAATGTTTACTTATTGAATTTTAGAGAGAAAGAGGAATGGAGAAGGAGAGAGAGAAACATCAATTTGTTGTTCCACTTACTTATGCATTCATTGGTTGCTTCTTGTATGTGCCCTGACCAGGGATTGAACCCGCAACCTTTGAGTATCAGGATGATGCTCTAACCCAGTATTTACCAAACTTTTGACATATGTGTACCCCTTCTATAATTTTCGTAACGCTGAGTACCCCTCGTATTCATGAGAATGTAGAATTAGGCGCAGCTAAGCATGGTGCAGTGCATATCCCCACCAAACTCCGGTGCAACGCGTACCCCCACCAAGCTCTTCCCGTACCCCTGGAGGTATGCGTAGCACACTTTGGGAAACACTGCAACCAATTGAACTACCCCACCGGGGTAGATTCACTTTTATTTTTTTCTTTCTCATACTGTCTTTATCCAGATTTTATAGCAAGTTATCCTATAAACTATGGAACTTTTTTCTTTTTCTATTCCTTGAAACAATTTAGTTACATATGAAATATATGTCGTTTGAAGATTTAGTAAAACGATTTCTAACACTGTCTAGGTATGGATTATTTATGGAATTACATTTAATTTCTTTATAATGATCAGTTATTTAGATTTTCTGTGTTGTTTTTTTTCAAGTCAATGTTGGTAATATTTTTCTAGGAAATTATGCATATTATCTTTTCAAATTTATTGGCATAAAGTTTCTCTTATTTGCTTATCTATTCTGTCTATACTGATATCATTTCTAAAACTATTTTATTTTTACTTGGTCAACTATTGCAACATTTTGCAAATTTTTGTAGTCTGTTAAAAAAAAGTAATTTTTGGTTTTGTTAACCCTTCCTATTGTTTCTTTTTTTCTCTGTTTCCTTAATTCCTGTGTTTGCTTTTATTTTGTCTTTTTTTTTTTTTGCTTTTATTTTTATTCTTCTTTTGGAGTTTTGTCTGTTCTTTGTCCAACTTGTTTTAATTAAGTTTTTTTTTAAAATATTTTAATACATGCATTTGAAATTATTTTTTCTTTTTATTAAACACATTTTAATAAAGGAAGAGAGAGAGAGAAACATCAGCGATGAAAGAGAATCATTGATAGGCTGCCACCTGCATGAGCCCCACTGGAGATCAAGCCCACAACCTGGGCATGTGCTCCGACCAGGAACCGAACTGTGACCTCCTGGTTCCTAGGTCGAAACAACCACAGAGCTATGCTGGCCAGGCTAGCTGCCATACTTTCAATGATGGATTTTTACATTCCTTCTTGTAAGAAGTATCTTTGGTTTATTTGCGTAGGATTTTAGAAGTAGCTTTGATGGGTAATTTATTTAAAAATCATTTTGACTATTAACTAGAAAATGAGAACTAAATAACTAATACTGTTTTGAAGGGAGGAACTCAGAAAACATATTTTCTGAGAAGTTAAAGGAAGACAGTATTCCTGCTCCTCGCTCTACAGGCAGTATTCAAGTCAACTTCACCCCTCGAGTGTTCCCAACTGCTCTCCGGGAATCAAGAGTAGCAGAAGAAGAGGAGGTAGGTATACTTGCTGTTAGTACAACACAGTGAAAATTCTTTATTTTTTATTTCATCTGTTCAAAACCACTAGTGTGTCTGAAATTCGTAAGTATTTATCAAACTAAAGCCATTACTTCATGAATGTATTTTAGTATTTCCTCATGAGAAAAATATATTTTGCAGGATTATTTTCTTGGCTTTAGAATGTTAACGAGAGAACACTGATTTAATATGCAGCAGTCTAGCTTATTCCAAGAGATAAACTATTGCATGCGCCATTTATTTTATTAAATACATCATTTTCTAGAATAAATTTCTAAAGTTTAGATCAATATATGTTGTGGTAAGAATAGATTTGGAAATTTATTAATATGTTATATTACAATTAATTATTAATGTCAGGTTTTCTAATGTTTGATGCTTTGGAATTAATATCTTTCATTCATTTATAAGTTCCTGAGCTTTAAGATTTTAAATATTGTATCTTTAGTTATATAAGCACTAACAACTGCATTTCTTTATGGTAAGAAAGGGGTGAACTTTCTCAATTGAAAAGTTGTGTAAATAGCTAGGTGGCTCAGTTAGTTGAAGCATCATCCCGCACACCAAAAGTTTGTGGTTTGATTTTCCTGGTCAGGGCACATGCCATGGTTGTGTGTTTGATCCCTGGTGGAGCACATAAGGAAGGCAGCCACTTGATGTTTCTCTCTCACATCAATGTTTCTCTTTCTCTCTCACTCTTTTTTCCTCTTTTTAGAACTAAAATCAATAGGCATGTCCTCAGGTGAGGATGGAGGAGGAAAATAATTTGTGTAAATAATTGAAGATACTTAAGGCATAACAATTTATAAGTATTATTTTTCTTTTTATTAAACAATGTATTACTTTTATATTTTATGGTCATTTTATTTTGTGTTGTAAAATATTATTATAATTATAATTTTTTTCAATATTGAAAAATAATAACAAGAAAAGTAAAATAACACAAACTTCCAAATTTGGATGAAATTTGGACTAGAAATTTTTATATACTTAATCTTAACCAGCTAGTTAACTTTTTTTAATGCATAAAAATTAAAAATCACCTTCAAGTACTGTGTCAGTCTGCTCTGGCTGCTATAATAAAATACCATAGACTGGGTGTGGCTTAGACAATAGGCATTTCATTCTGGAGGTTATAGTTATGGAGGCTGGGAAGTACAAGATCAGGGTGCAGGGGTTGGGTGGTGGAGAGGAAGAACATGGGCTCTGGTCTCTTCCTCTTCTATAAGGACACTAATCCTATCATTTGGGTTCTACCCTCATTACCCTCAATGGCTTCACCTCCAGATATCACATTGGTGGTTATGACTTCAACATATGAATTTGGGAGGACACATTCACTCCATAAAAAATAGTATTTCTGTTTATTCTTTTTTTTTAAATCCTCACCAAAGGATAGTTTTTTGTTTTTTTTTATGGGCTTTTAGACAGAGTGGAAGAGAGAGGGAAAGACAAGATGAAATATCTATGTGAGAGAAATATATCAATTGGTTGTCTCCGTCACAAGCCCAGGCCGGGAGAAGCCTGCAACTGAGGTACGTGCCCTTGACCAGAATTGAACCTAGGACCCTTTGGACACTGTATCACTGAGCCAAACTGCCTAGGGCTACTATTTCTGTTTTTTTGTAGGAAGGTGGAAAATCTAAAGACTTTATTCTCATTTCAGTGGCTACATAAACAAGCAGAGGCAAGAAGAACAATGAATACTGATATTCCTGAACTTAGTGATTTAAAAGAAGAAGAAAAGAACCCAGAATGGTTGAAGGATAAAGGAAAGTAAGTTTGGACTCTGGCCATGAGATTTAAAGTAAATTTATGTAACCAATAGTTTTTCTCACATTTCCCAGATATCTTGACATATATGTTTGTGTGTGTAGCTGTTAGGGAGAGATAATGCAAATAAACAAATTAGGTAGGCAGGACATCCATATTAAAAGGTCAGATCAGCCTGGCTGGTTGAGCATTGACCTATGAAGCAGTTGGTCACAGTTAGATTCCTGGTCAGGAAACATGCGCAGGTTGCTGGCTCAGTCAATGATTCTTTCTCATCATTGATATTTCTCTCTCTTTCTCTCTCTCTCTCCCCCTTCCTCTCTGAAATAAATTTTAAAAATATATAAAAAAAGGGTCAGATCATATAATAAGTAAGGTTTTTATTTTTATTTTTTAAATATTTTAATGTTATAGAAATGAAAAATATCACATCTTTTATATTTTCTAATATCCCCTTTTCAATCACATTTTATATAAGTTCTACCTAATATTTCACTTAAAAACTTGTTTCTTAAAAATTAGAGCTTCTTTGATTATTCATATCCATATTTTAAAAGGTTTGCAAATTATCTTATAGATTGTAATTTTGTATTCAGGCAATCCTTTTCCCATTTACATATATGAGACTCTACATGTGAACATTTTTATACAATTATCAAAAACAGTGAGTTCTGGTACATTCTGAGTGGCAATTTGAATTCATATTTTAAAGTAATTGTAGATATTATTTAATATATCTTACATACTTTTGTATTTCCTATTGCTGCCATAACAAACTTAGTGGCTGAAACAATACTAATTTATTATCTTATCAGGTTTTTTTCAAGTTTCTCTTTAAAAATTTTTTTTGTTGTTTATTGATTTGAGAGAGAGAGGAAGGGAGAGAGAAACATCTCTTTGTCATTCCATTTATCCATTCACTCATTGGTTGATTCTTATATGTGCCCTGACTGAGGCAGCCATGACTGATAGATTGTAATTACTTTACTGTTTTTATGTTTTTGTGCCATTTTGCCTTACAGTCTTCAATTATGTAGAAAAAGAAAGAGAAGCAAAATAAGAGGACAAGAAGAGAGTTAAAAATTAGAAGTGATGGAAGAAAACTTAGTAACTAATGACATCCAGAGAAACAGAGCAAAGTACAGTTAATCATAATGCCAAGTGCAAGCAGATCAAAGGAAATGTGAGAATTGTTAGAAGTGTATCCTCTCCAGCAATGTAATGCAGTACAGAAGACAGAAACAGTCAGAGTAGAACTGATTCAGAAGCAATGTGTTGAATTTAAGCCAAAGGATGAAATACCTTCCTCTCCAGAGGCTGTGTTTTATGGTAGCCTTCTTTACTATCTAATAAAGAGGGAATATGCTAATTGACTGTCCCACCCTCAAAGATGGAGATACTCTCAGCCACAAGATGGCAGTGCTCAGACCCCCCAGCCCCACCAGGGTGACAGGCATGTGGCAAGGCCAGGCCTGCCTGCCTGCCTCTGGAGTCCACTTGCCCCCTCAGCCCCCCAGCTGCCCAGGGTCACCCGAGGTTCAGGTAACCAGGGCCAACCAAGGCTTGTGCTGCCAGCAGTGGCAGCAGCAGAGGTGTGATAGGGGCATCACCTTCCCCTGATTGCCAGGTCGCCTCCTGCCCCCGAGGGCTCCCGGATTGAGGGACCCCCGCCTCTAGTGCATGAATTTTCATGCACTGGGCCTCTAGTATTTACATAAGCAAAAATAGCCCAGCTTGTCCTTACAGTGCTGTCCTTTTAGAAAGGGTAAGGTGGGCATGTCTTTCAGACGTGCAATAGCTTGAGGAAACTCTTTAGGGCAGCGGTCGCTAAACGATGATCCGCAGACCACTGGTGATCCATGAGGTCAGAAAGTTTGGCGACCGCTGCTTTGGGGATTATATGTACTCAAAAATGATCTTGTAGAAAAAGCCACATAGTGTTTTCATTTTCTTTGCCTAGCCTTTCGTTGCTGTGTCCTAGCTTTAAATGTCAAATCTATCTTTCAGCAAAATACATAATCTTAATTTTATTTGTTCACGTAAGCTTTTTACCTCTTCCAGTTAACATGACGTGCCAAGAAGCTTTTTACTCAGAACATCTCACATAAAACAGAGTCTAGGTGCTCTTATTTAGCTATGACATTATTTACAGCCTTATGTGACTTAGAGTCTAAATGACTTTAATTGCTATCCTTCCAGACACTTGTAATCATACCAGGTAGATGGACCATTGTTCTGTCCCACTGACATAATTCTGTGAGTGATTTTTATCGTAAGGTTTTTTTAATTAACCCTGTCTTAACCCCAAGCTTCAAGTCTTCCTCCCCCCCCCCCCCCCACAATAGAATCCCATCTGCACAACTCCCCCTCTACAGCAAATTCCAGTGTTAGATAGGAGAGAACCAAGGGCATAGAATCAAGGAATAATTCTATAATTTAGCATTCAGCATTGTGGTACTGTTGCTGCATAAGGTCGCCTACCCTAATTCTCGTGTCTGAATTTTCTTTTTATTCTCTTGGCCATGTGCCAGATTTTGTATCCTCACTGATACGCCTGTCCTCTTTAAAGTGAGGCTCTGCTTTGCTTTCTCTCTTGCCACCCAGGCTAATTCTGCTTCTGAACCCCCACTTTGTATGTAGCAGCCTCCTATTTGCTGACAGACTAAACTAGTACCAACTTGTCTGAATTTTCTGTATGATTGCAGTTTCCGAATTTTCTGAATATGGATTTTATCTTCCTGTCTGGATGTCCTTTTAATTTATGTTGGGCTTTTAAGAAATTAAACTCATTGAGGTATCATTGGTTAATAATATAATGTTATAGTATTATTGTAATGTAATACTACTATAACATTATAATTTAACATCTGTATACTCTATTGTGTGCTCACCACCCAGTCTGGTTTCCCTCACGTTGTAGTTTTTGATGCTGATTGTCTACTACCTGCTACTGTCTTCTCCCAGCACAGCATTCAGTTCTACTTGCCAAATTGAATTTCTTTGTAATACTTTGGTTTGGGTCCATGCCTTGGCAAGACAGTAACAGTCTAATGGATGCTGGCAGAAGATAGGAGACTCATGTGTCAAAGACAAAGGACTTTATTGTTTGAGGCATGGCAAGCAGCATGAGCTTCATTCACGTTGGTTCCTTTTGCCTTTCAAGACTCACAGGCCATTGCAGAGGTGGGGCTGGGCGGATGCTATACATATTGTAGGTTAGCACTACAGCGGAGAAGGAAAAGCACAGTTTTCTATAAGATTGTAAGCAAATCTGTCTAACCTTTGCCTTGCAGGGAGGTATTGTCTATATCTTACTGAGCAACAAATTTGCTCTTTGCCCCAGAAGGAGGCACTATCTTTGTTTTTCAAGGTTGTGCGCTATACAAAGACTAATAGTCCCAAACAGAATCTGTCGGTGGATCTGACACAAGACATGCAGGAGACTCACAGAGAACTGCCTCCCAACAGCCCTCAGACCTGCCTACATTTTTAGTACAGATCCGCCAGATATACCGTGCTTTGCTGCATTTTAAAAGCTCTGTTTGTTTATGATATTTATGCTGCTACCTTTTGCCTGACGGAAAGTTTAGATTTCATATTCTAAGGTGACTTCTTTGATGTAATTATTATTCTGTTCAGTTGCTTGTTTATATGGGTCTTACAGCCCATAATATTGTGTTGCAGTGCACCTATTATGGCCTGACTTGTCATTTTGTTTTTATGCAATATCCTCTTCCTCCTCCTCCCCTGAGTGCTAAATTGCAGTGGTTGATGTGCCTAAGGCACATCTGTCAGTTTTAGGAGCTCTTGAGATACCCAAGTGTATTTTATTCCCAAACAAGATTTTGAAGGAGACAAGGATTTTCAAAGTTCTCTGAGGGACAAGTGGGTGCTACAGTTCCCAATGCCCACAAAGCAAAGCTAATTTGTCTACTGTTGGAATGTGTTGCTCCCTGCCCCTATTCCAGTTTGTAAGCCCCACTGCTTCTGATTTCTCTTTTTTCCTTTTGTTACTTCCCTCCACTTTGCTTCTTTCTTAGCACTCCTGCTCTTGTTGCTTCTGCCACACTCAGCTGTTGTACAGAATGTTTGACACTTTGGGCCATTGCCAGTTAGAATGTATGTTTCTAAAAATTAGAGGAGTTTGCAATTGTCCGTGTCTCTTGAGTACAATAAGCACTCAATATGTATTATATGAATGAGTGCTTTTGCATAATTCTTTTCATTAGCATTGCCTTATTTGGGGCTTCTAGGTAGACTTGATGGTAATTAGCTTCTCTGTTTATGTATCTATTATTTTTTAAAATAAATTTTATTGATTTTAGAACGGGAGGGAGAGGGAGAGAGAGATAGAAACATCAATGATGAGAATCATTGATCGGCAGGCTCCTGCACGCCACCTCCTGGGGATCAAGCCTGGAATCTGGGCATGTGCCCTGACGGAGAATCGAACTGTGACCTCCTGATTCATAGATCGACGCTCAACTGCTGAGCCACGCTGGCTGGGCATTAGCTTCTCTGTTTAAATTTGGTATTCAAGGAATATTTTAGAAGAGGTTTAATTTTTTTTCCCTCTTGAAATTCAGACCATTTTTGGTTATTTAAAGTAGTATTGAACTTTAAAAAGTATAGCCCTGCCGGGCTGGTGTGGCTCAGTGGTAGAGCATTGACCTGTGTATCAGGAGATCACAGTTCGATTCCTGGTCAGGGTACATGCCTGGTTGCAGGTTCAGTCTCCAGTAGGGGGGTGCAGGAGGTAGCAGATGAATGATTCTCTCTCATCATTGGTGTTTCTTTCTCTCTCTCCCTCTTCCTATCTGAAATCAATTAAAAAAAAAAAGTAAAAATAACGAATCATGTTTTTAAAAAATAAGAATGTAGCCCCAGCTGGTGTGGCTCAGTTGGTTGAGAGTCAACCTATGCACCAAAAGGTTGCTGGTTTGATTCCAGATCAGTGCATATGCCCTGGTTTTGGGCTCAGTCCCAATTAGGGAGTGTGCAGGAGGCAGCCAATTGATGTTTCTCTCTCATTGATGGTTCTATCTTTCTATCCCTCTCCCTTCCTCTCTCTAAAATCAATATATATATATTTTTATTATTATATTATTTTTATTTTATTATTATTATTTTTTAAAAAGCTCAGCCATAATTTGGGCTGTGTGCTTTCTTCATTTGTATCCAGGAGGAGGAATTTATCCAATTTTTCATTTTCTAATTTGAAAACAAAGTTACAGGCTTCATTCTTTATATATATATATATTTTATTGATTTCAGAGAGGAAGGAAGAGGAAGAGAGAGATAGAAACATAAATGATAACAGGGAATCATTGATTGGATGCTTCCTGCATGCCCCACACTGGGGATTGAGTCCACAACCCAGGCACATGCCCTTGACTGGAATCAAACCTAAGGACCTTTCGGTCTGTCCGCAGGCTGACACTCTATCCACTGAGCTAAACTGGGTAGGGCGGCAAGCTTTATTCTGAATAGGCCAGGTTAGATCATAAGACCATTCCTGAGTCAATCATTGTAGCAAGGAGGATGGAAACGTGTGTGTGAACTTAAACTACTTATAGCTACCCTTGGAGTAGGGGTGCGGTCATGCTGATTACATCCTGATGTATGTGGAGTCAGTATAGCCTATAACCCCCATTATACAGGGAATAGAAAAGGAGGTAAGCCATCCCCTTTGCCAAATATCATTAGATATTATTTCTGTGTTTCTGTTTCAATATTATATTGTTTACTTTTATTTTGTTTTTGTCTCATTAGCAAATTGTTTGCAACAGAAAACTATTTGGCAGCAATTAATGCATACAACTTAGCCATAAGACTAAATAATAAGATTCCACTATTGTATCTGAATCGGGCTGCTTGCCACCTAAAATTAAAAAACTTGCACAAGGCCATCGAAGATTCTTCTAAGGTATATATATTTATCCACATATGATACTTTAAAATTGTTATACTCCTATTTATTGGTGTGAATGATGACCTTAGCTTTCATGTGTCAAATTTAAATAATGGAGAATTATTTAAATAATAAAGGATTTTAACAATCATTTTGCATAGTATGTCTCTTTTTCTGGAAAAAATTTTTTTTTTTGCATGGACAAGTTTCCTGAGTCTTCAAGTTAAATTAGAAATCCCCTATAAATTGCTCTGATCTATCAGTTGAAATTCACATGGAAATGAGTAAATTGCTGGCAGTTAGTGCTCACCCTTTTTATTATTAAAATTTTGGACACACAATACAAGATGGAAGGAAGAACACCTGGCATCACTGCCACTGGGACATTAAAGCCTATGTCAATAATTTTCACATTTTCAGAGAAACTTAGTATATCCTTATTTTCATGACTGATATTATGTCATTATCTTAAACTGCTAGTTTTTTTCTTGTTTTTCATATCAAAGTAACTTGTTTTCAGGGGAAATCAATGCAAAATCTCTTATGTGGGTCCTTGAAATTGAGGATATGGAGGAAACGACTAAGTCCTCATACTCTGATCTCATTAAGCTACTGAATATCTGACAATATTTCAAATCTATTTTTCCTTTTACTAGAACAATTTGTATATAAACAAATACTTATTGAATAAATGAATAACTGAATCATTTAATTTGAATATAAAGAGCCAAAAATGCTATTTTATCATTCTTGCTAGTAAAGAGAAAGCTTTAGAGGTTTCAGATGGCAAACCAAATTAAAATTTTGGAGAAGAGGAGGTATGAGTATCATATAGGAACAATTGAACAATTCCTTAAATTGCTCAACATAAATATATGTATAATATTTAATAAATTCCTATGGTAGCTAAGCCAACAGTTTAGGTGGGTGAGAGTTTGAGGCTTGTTTTTAAAGTTAAAGTTTTTACCATATTTTTGTTCAGATTTGAATTAGAAAGTTACGTTTTTCCCTTATTATTATTCTTACTTTGTAAGGCACTGGAATTATTGACACCACCTGTTCCAGACAATGCTAATGCAAGAATGAAGGCACATGTACGACGTGGAACAGCATTCTGTCAACTAGAATTGTATGTAGAAGGTAAGAAAATGAAAGAAATATTTCAAGTTTCAAATTATACTCTGGAAAAAATGTTATTGGGTTTATTTATGACTGTTTAGGACTCATTGTTTTATATTTTTATCACTTAATTTAATCTTTGTAACATATCTGACAAAAAATTATTTTAAAATATTGTTTAAAAGATTCTTGTATGGCCAAGACTGGTTTGGCTCAGTGGATAGAGCATCGGCCTGCGGAGTGAAAGGTCCCGGGTCGATTCCGGTCAAGGGCATGTACATTGGTTGCAGGCACATCCCCAGTAGGGGGTGTGCAAGAGGCAGCTGGGCGATGTTTCTCTCTCATTGATGTTTCTAGCTCTCTATCCCTCTCCCTTCCTCTCTGTAAAATATCAATAAAATATATTTAGCCGAAGCTGGTTTGGCTCAGTGGATAGAGCATCGGCCTGCGGACTGAAGGGTCCCGGGTTCGATTCCGGTCAGGGGCATGTGCCTTGGTTGCGGGCGCGTCCCCAGTAGGGGGTGTGCAAGAGGCAGCTGAGCGAGGATTCTCTCTCATCGATGTTTCTAACTATCTATCCCTCTCTCTTACTCTCTGTAAAAAATCAATAAAATATATTTAAAAAATAAATAAATAAAATATATTAAATATATATATATATATAATCTAGATAATACAAGTATTAATGAAATATTTTCTTGGTCATTATTACTATATAAATATAGGCCTACAGGATTATGAAGCTGCACTTAAGATTGATCCATCCAACAAAATTGTACAAAATGATGCTGAGAAGATTCGGAATATAATTCAAGGAACAGAAGTAAAATCTTAATGACTACTGGAAGCAACTAGGTACTATAATGGGTTTGGTTTAAAATTTTTTCAAAATATTATAACTGGAGGCATTGGGAACATTATGGGTAATTGTGCAGAATCACTTTATTTTAGTGCTCTAGTTCTGTTGGAAGGAAAATATTGTAAGTCTATAGAAAATAATATGTTTGAGAGTTATGGTTTCTGATTAACTAAATCAAAATAATCTATTTCAATTCTTTATCTCTTTATATTAATATATAATTTAATTACATATTTTTGTTACTGAATTCAGCTTGCCCTTATAACCAATAAAATATATGTTGGTGTGATGATTACCAGGACACTTACTGATTCATTTTTAACAAGGTAGAAATTTAAAATTAGAGATTATGTTTATAAGCATTTTGTCTGTATTAAATATGCTATTTAATTGTCTGAATGGTTGACCTTGGTATTGGTATTTCCAAGTGCACAGGACCTTTTTTATTTTTCTTATACTCACCTGAGGATATTTTCTGATTTTAGAGAGTGGAAGGAATAGGGAAAGACAGAGAGAAACATTAGTGTGACAGACACACATTGATTAGTTGCCTCCTGCATGCCCCTGACCAGGGCCAGGGGCCTGCAGTCGAGGAATGTGTCCTTGACCAGAATTGAACCAGGGGCCACTGAGTCCGCAGTCTGACATCCTATCCACTGAGCCAAACCAGCTAGGGCTCTTTTTTTTTTTTTCTTTTCTTTCTTTAATGTCTATACCACCTGTTGTTTGAGGTTGGGTCAGTCCAACCAAGTAAAACAGCTACTTGGAAAATTTTATTTTCATATGCAAACACTGTCTGGTAAAGATACATTTTCTAGTATCTTCAAGTACCCCAGGAAAAAGAAGAGCAAAACGTAAAATGTTAAGTTAGAATGTTGTGTTATTGGCAGATGTATGTGGTAAATCAAATCATAAAGTTGCTTGGCAAACATGGAATGGGAACAAAGGAGAATTAGTTTGATGAGTGGAATGTTTCATGGCATCATGGATCCAACTCTACGCAACAGGCTTCTTTCCTATAAAGAGCCTCCACATCTCGAAATACTTAGACTTATCACAATTGGATGCAAAAAAACAAACAAACAACAACAAAAAAAATCCACCAACAATGGACTTGGCACTTGTCTAAGACTTTGGCAACTTTGAGAATTCCAAGTGCTAGGCGCTTACGTAGGGGTGGAGAAACTTTTCTTTAGCCTCGTGGTTCTTTCGGCTGGTCTAAAGATCAAGTAGACGTGAGACAGATTACCAAGAGAAAAGGAGGCCTTGGGGACAGGTTCACGGGATTTGTCTGGGACGAACTGCTGCAGCTCATTGCTGTCCTGGTCCCTTGAGTTTAAGAGATGCATGTCTCTTAAGGAAGTAGAAGGGGAGGCCTGGGTGTGCTCCTGGGAGGGAGAGCATGTGGGACCTTCGTTTTGAAGGGTTTTAAAGGCTGAGCATTTAGGGGAGGTCTTATGGGAGGATCTCAATAAAACATTCATTAAAATGAGGTTTATTCTCTTAACTTCATTTGTCCTTGGTTGGCAAAATGACACTAATTGGATTTATGCTGTCTCCCTGAGTAGGGTGATTTAAACTATTTACTCTCTAGTTGGGGTGGAGAAGTGCAAACCATTTACTCTTAAGCGTCCTTGGTTTAAGGAAGATAGGATTTCCTGAATGGCTACAAACTGCTTGGCATCACGATTTTGTAGATGGCTGCAAACTGCTGTTTAACTCTCTCCGTTTCCTTATTCTGCTTGTCCTGACTTTACTAGCCTGTTTCATCAGTTTGGTTTTTGTGGTGGCAGGCAGCTGAACCTTGGTTTTGGTTACAGCAACAGCTGATTCTCCTGATACAGTCCCTTCACTTCCTTCAGGGCTGTGGTCAAAGCTTATCAGAGACCTTCCTTGACTTACTACCCAAATTAACTTCTTGCCTGAGCACTCCCTCTCTCCTAACCCTATTTATTTTTTTCATAACATTTATCACCTGGCATGTTTCATACACATAGTCATATATATATATATATATATATATATATATATATACACACACACACACACACACACACACATATATATATATTTACATGTAATATATATGTATAAAACATATAAAATAAATGCATATGTTATATGTAACTATATATATATATATATATATATATATATATATATATATATATATATATAAAAGGCTAAGTGACTGTCCAACTGCAAGGTAGGTATGACACGCACTGAACTCCAGGAGGTAGGCGCTCAGCACAGGCGCTGCCCAGCTGCAGTGACCGGGCAGCAGCGGTTCTCAGGTGACACACCTGGAACCAGCGAGGAGGGAGCCCGATTCCTCCCAGGGCCTTGAGATTCATCTCCGGCTGTGGGTTAGTTGTTGCTGGGGCACTGTTGGCCTCAAATCTAGTTTACTGCACACTTGTGTTTGTGTTCCACGCCCTGTACGACAGCAACTTTGCAGAGTGCCCTCTCGCACTCCGGGACCCCTTGGAAGATGTCAGAGAGCTGGTTTCGGCCTCACAAGCCAGGCCAAGGGACCCCACCTGCCAGAGGGATCACACTCACTCCACGGACGCCCTTCCAGCCATGGCTCCACCTCAGGTGCGCCGGCCGGGGAGGGACTGCATGAGGTTGGCTCCAGGATATGTCCAGCCCTTCTCACCCAGTCATCCACCTTCTAATAATTTCCTTTCAATGTACACAAATCCATGTACTGGGCCATTATTATAGATATATTTACATGTAAATATACATGCATAATTTATAAAATATTTGTCTACATGTATATAAATACATGTTTGACATGTATGTATAACTATACAGGCTGTCCACAAAAATGTACACACACTTTAACAGCTGATAGCTTAATTTTGAAAATAAAATGTATTTTAATAAACATTGCCTTCATAATTATTCAAAGTGTGAGATACATTTTTGGGGACACTCCATATAAATAAGTATTTTAAAATATTTACATTATATATGTATACATGTTTATACATATATATATATTTTTAATATATTTTATTGATTTTTCACAGAGAGGAAGGGAGAGAGATAGAGAGCTAGAAACATCAATGAGAGAGATACATCGACCAGCTGCCTCCTGCACACCACCCACTGGGGATGTGCCCGCAACCAAGGTACATGCCCTTGACCGGATTCGAACCTGGGACCTTTCAGTCCGCAGGTAGACAGACGCTCTATCCGCTGAGCCAAACCGGTTTCGGCAACATGTTTATACATATTTTTACTAGTTAATCTGTTTTCCCCTAATAGGATTTATTAGAATCTGAACTCCATGAGGGCAGGCTCTTAGTGCCTTGTAGTCCCTCCACTTTAATGGGCACAGAATGACTACCTAATGGCATTCCAGACAATATGCTCAATTTGGAGATATTCATATGACAATTTTAGCAATAACAACAAAACATAAGGCCTAAACACCAGCCATAGTAAAGAACATTAGGGTAATAACTATATATTATATATTAAAAAGTTGACTCCACTTGTTACATATTGAGCATCTACAGAAGAGAAAATGGTTTGTATAGTTTAAGCGGAGAAAAGGCTAGTATATTCAAATTCTATTGCATTGTTTTTCTGAAAAATCTTGTGCAGAGCCTCAATTTAGAGGAAGTGAACAGGACCAGTTTTTCTTCTTGCTTGAGCCATTACCAAATAACAAATGTGGGGGTGTGTGAAAGAGTTTCGTGAAGCTGCAATGAGTGAGCTCTTTCCTCACATCAAACCATTTATGTAAATAGGTGGTCAAGCTTTTCTGATCCCCTAGTGACTCACAAGATTATTCATTCTAATTGACGTTAATATCCTGAACCTAAAACAAAGAGAAAAATAGAAACAGTGACAGTAACAGCTTTTTGGTAAAAACAAAAATCCTCTTTGGATTTCTTTCAGTTAGAGAAAATGGGTACTAATGTAGGTCATTTGCAAAAGAGAATTGGTGTAACGCAAACTTCCAGAAGTATTTTAAATAAACATTGCTTTTATAATTATTCAAAGTGTGTTTATACATTTTTTGGGACACCCCGTATAAACATAATATTTTAGAATATTTTATTCGCCAATGCCCCCTTTCTCTGACTTCTCAGTAAGCCAAAGCAGGCCAGCCTAGGCACAATTCCCCACCTGGTCCCTCCCCTGTTGCTTCTATCCTAGGCCCTTCCTTGTTTCACTGACTCCAGCTTTAATAAATGTCTTCTAAAAATCACCTGGACTCATACTGTGACATCTTTCCTGCACGAAGTCAAGAACCTACCCACTACCAGTGGTCCTAGGCAGACCTGCTCAGGGCCAAGTCCTTTCTGTAACAAAACAACAAAAGACTGTCTTTTATTTATGTTACATTTACATAGTATAGTGTATGTCATAAGTAGGTGTTCAATAACTGCTTGCTGGCCCAGCCAGTGTGGCTCAGTGGTTGAGCATCAAGCTATGAACCAGGAGGTCACAATTCGATTCCCAGTCAGGGTACTTGCCTGGGTTGCGGTCTTGATCCCCAGTGTCGGGTATAGGAGGCAGCCCATTAATGATTCTCTCTCACTATTGATGTTTCTCTCCCTTCCTCTCTGAAATCAATTAAAAAAAAATAATTACTTGCTAAATGAATGAATAACAAGTCCTTTCACCCTATCAGGGTAGCTCAGTTGGTTAGATCGTCATCCCGATCCACCAAGGTTGTGGGTTAAATCTCCAGTCAGGGCCCATACAAGAAGCGACCAATAAATATATAAATAAGTGGAACAACAAATTGATGTTTCTCTCTCTAAAATCAATTTTTAAAAATGTCCTCTCTTCCATGAGCTTAGCACAGGGAATTAACATTTCCCCAGGTTCCAAGCCATTACTTGAAATAACACACAAGTGGGAAATTACTGGTCAGAGTCTTCCTTAATTCAATCTTTTTCTTAAGAGTTCCTGTGTTCCTTTGTCTTGATAAATATAGACAGAAGACAATTTAGATCATGAAAGTTTTTTTTAAGATTGTGGAATACATGGACTAAATAAAGCGAGGATGTACAAAAATGCTTCTACTTTTTATTCTGCTATTCTAACATTTTTAAGAAGTCACTCAGTTATCAGTTGAAATACTTTATTTCTTGAAGACATTTTTTAAAAATTAAAATCTTTCCATATTCCCAATTAGGTATTCTAGCCTTAGACTTAAAACTCATTTTTTCCCCTGAGGATATTTTCTGTTAAATATACAAAAGAATATATTTTCATAGAGTATGTTGAAAATTAGGAAAGTCAAGGGTTCTAGTTCTGTCAGGTGCAGTATTTAGAGTGTTATTTTGATAAAGTCCCGTAAGTCTGATGTGTCTTGAAAATTCTTGCTCTTTTGGAATATAAATGCAGGGGAAAAACTGTGGAATAGGAAAAAATTCACCATAAGTACTTGAATTGGTTTTATACATAATCATCTTAGGCTCTGATAGTGAGGTAGCTGTATGGAGTGTTTTTGGATCCAACATACATGAAAACACAGGATTGCCAGGGTTCACACAAGTAGGCAGTTGTTGAGGTTTCATTTCTGTGACTGAAGTTGAAGCTAACGTACTTTTCTTATCCTAAAATACAAACACATAAAATCACTCTCAATTATAAAGTTCTTGGGGGGGGACCCCAAAACTATTAAAACTTAGCCCCAGCCCTAATTTAATACCACTCACAAAATTAACTTAAAAATTTAACTCAAAATGAAGACTTAAATGTAAGGCCTGAAAGTGCAAAACTCTAGGAAAAAAATAAGAAAAAATATTATTAGTCTTCACAACAGTTATTTGGATATGACACCAGAAGCACAAGTAACATATGCAGAAGTAAACAAGTGGGACTATATCAAACCAGAAAGTTTGTACACAGCATAGGAAACTATAAACAGAATGAGACAACCTACAGAATGGGGAAAATGACTGCAAACTATATATCCAATAAGGAGTTAATTTTTAAAAACTATATTTTATTGAGTTTTTACAGAGAGGAAGAGAGAGGGATAGAGAGCTAGAAACATCGATGAGAGAGAATCATCGATCAGCTGCCTCCTGCACACCCCCCACTGGGGATATGCCCGCAACCAAGGCACATGCCCCTGACCAGAATCGAACCTGGGACCCTTCAGTCCACAGGCCGATGCTCTATCCACTGAGCCAAACCGGTTTTGGCAAGGAGTTAATTTTTTTTAAAAAAATATAAGGAACTCATATAATTTGAAAGCCCAAAAACCCACACAAAACAATGAACCGTCTGATTAAAAAATGGACAGAGGAATTCCAAAATGTCAGCAGAGGAAGTGGAAGCTACACTTATACTCTCCCAGGTCCAAACTGGAAATACAACTAAAATACAGAAAAACTACCCCAAAAATCAACTGAAGATGAACTGGAGAGAACCCTGATAACTACGGAGGGAAAGTGGAGACTGCATTGAGACTGGTAGGAAGTACAGAGGCATGAAAGGGCTGGTCGGGCTCCCACAGACGGCAGCTGAAGTTCAGGAGGGATATCTCAGCTGTGGGGGGAGTTCCCACTGAGAACTCTGGGATCTAAACCCCAAGCTTGGCTCCCCAGCCCAGAGCCCCAGAACTGAGAAAGGTGCCCACGTAACATCTGGCTGTGAAAAGTTTGCTGCCTCACAAGGAGAGATGGCTTGAAATACAGACACCCTCTTAAAGGGCCAATGCATAAAATTTTATGTGCAACCACTCACCTTGGGCTCCAGCAAAGGGAGGGCAGAATGGACTGGAGGTGTGTGAGTAGAGTCCAGGGTTGGGGGCTTTGGGGTTGGAGCTCAGAGGGCAGCCACCTTGGTTTACTGTGCTGAGTCATTCAACTCATGCTGCTGAGGACATCTTTCTCTGGCGGAGCTTTGTTATCCAAGTGGTTTTTGCCTAGGGCAGTGTTTCCCAAAGTGTGGTACGCGTACCCCCAGGGGTACGGGAAGAGTTTGGTGGGGGCACGCATTGCACCGGAGTTTGGTGGGGATATGCACTGCACCGTGCTGCGCCTAATTCAACGTTCTCATGAGTACGAGGGGCACTCAGCGTTACGAAAATTATAGAAGGGGTACACATATGTCAAAAGTTGGGGAAACACTGGCCTAGGGGAAGGCAGTTTCCCCAGCCTGTTGGAAGTCTTCTCGCCCCACACTGTGGTCAACAGCCTGAGGTTAATCAGTATCAATCCTGCTGCAGGTAGAGGTGGATCTCTGGAGGCTGGGGCTAGATAAAGCAGACCCTGGTGCACATCTTGGTCTTTCCAAAGGCACCCAGCCCCGGAAGAGAGAAACACAAGTTGTGGATTGCTGAGAGCTCCTTAGGGTCAGTCACAAACAGCTCTGACATTGTCCTGCACTAGAGGTTTGGAGTCGTAGCAGACCTACCTAATACACAGACACAAACCCATACAGGCACCCAAAGTGGCAAGACAAAAAAACAAGCCCTATATGCAAGAGAATTCTCCAAAAGAAGAACTAAATGAAATGGAGATAAGAAACTTATCAGATACAGTGTTTAGAATGATGGCAAGGATGCTCAATAGCATGAGAAAAGATATAGTAATGATGAAAAAAGACCAGTCTGAAAGGAAGAATGACATAACACTAATAACACATTGGAAGGAATACACTGTAGATTAGGAGAAGCCAAGGATTGAATTATGAATTAGAAGACAGGATAGAAAAAAAATCACTCCATCAAAAATAAAAAAACAATTAAAAAACAGGACATCTTAAGAACTGTGAGACAACATAAAACGTAACAGTATTCACATTACAAGATACCAGAAGGGGAATAAAATGAGCAAAGGATAGAGAATTTGTTTGAAGTAATAGTGGCAGAACACTTCCCTAACTTGGTGAAGGAAAAAGTCATACAAGTTCAGGAGGCACAGAAAGTCTCAAGCAAGAAGAATCCAAACAGGCCCATGCCCAGACATATAATAAAAATGCCAAAAATTAAAGAAACGATCAAAATGAAAATGGAGCCCACAGTATGGGAGAACATACTTGGCAATGATACATCTGACAAAGGATCAATATCCAAATATATATAAGGAACTCATTACAGTAGATTATAATCCATGAAATTGAGATCCTTTAAGATTTCTAAATCCTTAACATTTAGCAAGCATATAACCTCAGTTTCCCCAAGTCTAAAAGGAGATATAAATGTTTAGAGCTGTTTGTCAGACTAATGTGAGGACAAAGCCTTTTCTAAGTTGCATATTTGGATCAGATTAGTTAGGTTCCTCTTAGTGTAACCCAACTCACCCTGAATTCCTGGGTTATCTATAATAATAGAAGCATAATATGCTAATTTGACTGGACATCCTTCTGGACAAATTGCAGCGGCAGGGGCCAAGACAGAGGCAGCTGCTGTGGAGGTGGGGGCCGAGGCAGAGGCTCCTGGCCACAGTGGCAGTGGGGGCCAAGCCCCTTGCATGAATTTCATGCATTGGGCCTCTAGTTATATATAATGTCTCAGCAAAGTTAAATTTACCAATGTCCAGAACCTATTAGTTGTGAAAGCTTGAGTTCAAATCTGCAAATGTGAAGTATTTAGTACATTTTTTCTTTTCCTTGGTTCAGATTTAAATGATTATCAACCTATGATCCAACCCTTCATCATTATCATTTCCCCTTTGTATAAAAATTGGTTTTAAAAATCTGCCTTAGTCTGTACTTATGGAGATATACTGGGGGGAAAAATAGATGTAAAGATAAATTGCTTTTTTGCACATTTACCTCAGTGCTTTTGTATGCTCTTCCAGAATTCAGTTCTGAAATTTGCAGGCTAACAAAACTACGTTAGTATACTACAATCTATATATATAAAAGTCTAATATGAAAAGTGTCCCCTTGGGAGTTCAGTCGTTTGCTATGATGTGTGCTTACTGCCAGGAGGTGGCACAGAATGAAGGAAGGCCCAGGCAGGTGGCCGCCAGCAAGCAGCTGGAAGGCCCAGATTGGCCCCAATTGCTGGCCAGGCCTAGGGACCTTACCCATATAATAGTCATATATCTTATAGGAAGCTGGCAAAATTAGAAATAGAACTCATCAGATCTTGCTCTTTATTCTTTTTGATGCTGCCTATTAACTTTTATTTATTTTTTTTAATATCAAGAGCACAGACATTGGATAATAATAAACTCCCAGCATCCTATGATGTGTCAACAGGACAGCTTTTCTCAAAATGTCTAGGTTTCCTCTGCACAGGGAAAGCCTCTTAGGTGGAAGTCCTGTGATTTGTGGGGAAAAGTACCAACTCTTATTTATTTTATGGACACCCAGTCAGGTTACCCAGGAGAGCCTCATTCACAGAGGACTCTCATCAAATCACCCTCTAATCCTGGCTCTAAATTTCAATCAGCTTTGGTGCAAAATGTAATAAAAAAAAAAACCAATTATAGGTAAAATAGAGGATAAGTTAGCTGATAAACTTTGTTGGTATAATTCAGTGGTTGGCATACTCATTAGTCAACAGAGCCAAATATCAACAGTACGACGATTGAAATTTATTTTGAGAGTCAAATTTTTAAAACTTACATTGTTATTAACTTAATTAGGGTACTTCTAAACTGGCCTTTGCTAAAAACTCAAGGGGCCAAAGAGCCGCTTGTGGCTTGTGAACCACGGTTTGCCAACCACTGATATAATTTATATCACACAATATAGAAATTAGTGTCTACCTAAATCTTTTAAACCTCCAGGATAATTCACAAGGTTTATAGACTTAGAAACAAAATACACATTATTTTTTTGTCATAGGCTTTCACTGCAGCTTTCTATTTGGGTTTCACCTTCCTCAAATCTTATATTCTTAAAACGTGGAGTTCAAACTATATAGTTTAAAATAAAACTAAACAAAACAGTCTAATACAAAGGAAAATAAAATGATTATTTTAAGTTCTCTGTTAGTTATGTTAGTTATGCAAAAAACAGTCAGCAACTGTTTTTTACTTAAGGATAAAAAGGTAAATTAAAATTGTAAATGATTATTTTAAAATTGACTATGTTTTAGAATTGGCCTGGGAAAGAATACAAACCTACAAATAGATAGATGGCAGTAATTTAATTTATAAGGCTTTCCTAGAATTAGAAAAAGCCTGGCCACTTTTATTTTTCAGTACTTCAGTATAAACACATATTAAAAAATATAGAAGCCATTGAAATAATAAAAATATTTCTTAGTCCTAGCTTGTTTGGCTCAGTGGATAAAGCGATGGCAGGGTTCCGGTTTGATTAAGGTCAAAGACACATGCCCAGGTGCAGCAGGCCTATCCCCAAAGGGGGTGTTCAGGAGGCAGCCTATTGATGATTCTCTCTCATCATTGATGTTTCTATCTCTCTCTGAAATCAATAAAAGTATATTTTTAAAAATATTCCTTAGAGAAGCTGTAATTATAAAATTATATTTTCTTTTTTTGATGTCACAGTTGATGTTAACATCCAAAGTAAAAATCAAAAACAAAACAAAAAACACAAAAAGGGATAGATAACTTGTTTGAAGTAATAATGTTTGAGACACCCTCTTATTTCTGTTGAGGCCCACCATCTTTCTTGTTAATGTTTTTCTTAACTCCCCCCTCCCCCACAATTGGGGGACAGTTAAACCTTAGCTTGCTAGTTTCCATCAACAGCATGAGTGCACATATTTTTGTAGCTCATATCTTTATTTGAGCAAGGTAAAATGTAAATAAATGCAAAATGAACAAGGTACATTTTTTGTTGTTGTTGTTCAAAGATATCACCTCATGGTTTGCAATAGGGTCCGAGTTACCTACCATCCCCAATCACCTTTATACCTTCACAACAATTCTGGCTTAAATCAACATTGTACATTTGCATCTGTGTAGCTCAGTGGCTGCCTAGGAAGTTTTTTGTTTTTGTTTTTTAGGGTGGATGCCCCAAATTGAAAGCAAAGTAGACCAACATTCAAAAACATCCAGCCCTTTCTCTGGGTCTGTTTTTGTTCATCAGTTTATGTTGTTCATTATTTCCTCTAGATGTGTGAGATCATGTGATCCAAGAAATACCCTTGTAAGGACAATTATGTGAGACATAATCAATAAAATAAATAAAAATATTAAAACACACACACACACACACACACACACACACACACACACACACACAACACAACATCCAGCCCTCTGTCCAAACCCACTCAGCCATACCGGGTCATTCTCCATATCTTTCTTTTTTCGTCAAAGGCAGTCTTTTTCTTCAGCAGATGACGAGAAGGCCAAAGGATGCGGCTTTTTTAGTACACCCAATTAAAGCTTGAAAGAGAAGGGAAAACGTGGGCTAGCGATCAAAATCCCTAGCTGTCCTGAGGGCTGAAACCATGAATCCTTTGGAGCGATTGTAGTAGCCGTCTCCATAGCAACCTTCAGCGGCGCCTCTCCGCCTTCGGAGCGCCCGGACCGGATGTTGTGAGGCTCGCGGCTTCCTGCCGTCTCCCCGCCGCGGGCTGCGCTGCTCTTCGGGAGTCGTAGTTCTTCCCTCCGCTGCCGCCCGATGTAAGGCTGGGGGCGAGACTACGAGTCCCAGCATGCGCTGTGGCGCTCGGTCCGTCGCCTCCTCCCGGGAGCGGACGCCTGCGAGCAGGTTGTTGTTTTTATAAGAGGCGTCACTGGGCTCGGAGCTGTGACCAACGCTACCGCGACAGCTAGCCCTTGGGGGCGGAGGTGGCGGTGCCCCTTCAGGTACGGCCCTGTGTGGGTTTGGACCCCAGGAGAGGAGTCGCGGCCATCTGTCAGGGCCCTGGCTGGCACCCGCGGCTCCGACGCCTGGCGGAGGCATTGGCGCGGTCTCCTCTGAGGCTGAGCTCCGAGTTCGACTCCCGCCGCCTGGTGCGTGTGGCCGCGAAACCGGAGTCTGCACGGAGACGGTGTCGGTTCCTGCGGCGTCGGGTCCGGTGGTCCTGCAGCCTCCGACTGCCACGTGCAGACCCTGCGCTAGAGGTGCGGGGGAAGCTTGCGGCTCGGGGGACCCTCCTCCCTTCGCTCGGCTGGCTTGGGGCTCCCTTCGCCGGGCTGGGCTGGGTGAGAATCCATATGGTGAGATGTTGTGTGCGTCACCCTGCCGGGTTTTCAGCCTGCCCATCTTTTTTTCTCTTTGGTGACGTTCGAACCCCGTGATGTCAGGAATAGAAACATTAAATATTAAATAACGCAGGTGAGATTTCTCCTCGTACACCAAGCGCTCCATATCCTTGTCCTCCTCCGGCGGCCCCCATTGGCGTCGGCCGGCCTTCCTAATGGAGAAATCCTCTGGATTAGCTATCCATGTAGTGCCTTGCAAGCCTTACATGTTTTCCTTGTTTAATGAGTCCAACTCTGCCTTTGGGAGCGCCAGTTTTAACGAACTCAGTCCATTAAGGTACTTTGTTGCAGGGATGAAATTTATACTGCTTCGTTCCAGCTTTATTGAAAAAACGGAATGGAGTTTGCTTGCAGCTAGAACAGGCATTACGAATTTTAGACTTGCATTTTCCAGTAAGGTTGCATCCCTTGGATAGTGCTTGAAATGTCACTCTTAGCCTCTCATATCCTTTGGCTTAAGACTTTAATATTATTAGGCCCCAAATTTTCGGTGCTATTGATCACACCATCCTAGTGTGAATGGTTTATTATTCGTTCCTGAGCTCTGAGCCTAAAAGGGAAGGGAAAGAGGAAGTTGGGGGTGAGTGGGGGAGGGTGTAATTATTTTATTATTTTTATATTAATTACTTCATTACCTATCATAACTTGAAGTTAACAGAATTCTAATTCTCTTTTTTTTATTTAAAAAAATAGGTTTTTATTGAAACATCAGTGATGAGAGAGAATCATTGATCGGCTACCTCCTGCCCAGCCCCACCGGGGATGGAGCCCACAACCCTGGCATGTGCACAGATGGCATCTAACCATGACCTCCTGGCTCATGGGGCCATGCTCAACCAGTGAGCCACATGGTCAGGGAAGGCGGTTATTCTTTTGAAGTATAATTTTAACTCTTTGCCTAAGGATGGGAGCTAATTAAAGAAGCTATTAAAATCATTTACAATGTTTAAAATCATTCTTAAATGTGTTAAGTATTATTTTTTAAGTAAAATAGGTTAGAGAATAGTGTGATTCTAATTTTGTAAACTACATAGAATGTAGAGCAAGTATATGCGTTTGAAATGTCAATGTTAGAAACGTTTAAATCTGTAGAGTTTTTATGAGTTTGAGCCAAATGGAGAGTTGCTGGGAAGCAAAATCTCAGTGGATTGAGAAAATGCTCCAGAGAATGGGAGCTTTGCACCTTACTTTATACATTCTAATCAAAGGAGGAGGAATAAGGATTACATGAAATCCATTGATAATAGAGGATTAGGAAGGTGGGAGAAAACAAAGCAGGGGAATCTTGGGATTGGATAAAAAGTAAAACGAATAGACATACACTTGTACATTTGTGGATATAGGATTACTAGCAGTTAACAATTAACACGGTAACAATAGCATGAAGGGTTTTGTGGTCTGTGCTCTGATGCAGTGAGACGGTTCGGTAAAAGGAAATTAGACTGACATTGCAAAGGGTGGGGGGAGGGTGTAATTATTTATTATTTTTTATATTAATTACTTCATTACCTATCATAACTTGAAGTTAACAGAATTCTAATTTTTTTTTTTTTAAAACCTCCCCTGAACGTGTCAGGTTTAGTATGTGGTCCCTTTTTGGTCCACAGAAATAAGACTGAAAGGATAATTTTAATTATAAAAGTGAAATTACAAATAATTTTTTATTTTTAAATACATATTTATTTATTTTAGAGAGGAAGGGAGAGGAGAGAGAGAGAGAGAGAAACATCAGTGATGAGAGAGAATCATTTATCAGCTGCCTCCTCCTTGCCCCTGTGAAGATGGAGCCTGCAGCCCTGGCATGGAATGGCACTGTGTGTGACCTTCTGGTTCATAGGTCAGTGCTCTGCTACTCAGCCATGCTGGCCTAGCACAAGGAATTTTTTCTTTATACTTTCTGGTATTTCCCAGATTTTTTTATAGAAAGAGAACTTAACTTAAAAATGGAGATAGGTGTACCAATTCTAGTTATAAAGAAAAGCAAATGAGTAATAACAAAAAATGTAAAGTAATGATTGAAAGGGACAAGAGTTCATTTGTTGGACTGGAAAGGTAAAGAAAAAAAAGACAATAATTCTTAGTATATGTACAACTCATCTGATTTTGCTCTGTTTTCACTTTAAAAGAAAAGAAAAATCTGCTAAGCATTTCTTCAGTTAAAGCAGTGCAATCTTGATTATTTTTATAAATCCATCAGATGATAAAATATAGGGATATTAATCTCAAAATATATCCAGATCTGGATATAGCAAATCTGTCATTTGTTACTTTGTAAGCATTTGACAGTGGAACCATTGAATCGCTTTGAGTACTATGTTTTATATGTTTGATATTTCGAATTTTTGTTAACTTTTGTTTCCTTTTATGAGTATGTTAGATACGGTATGTGAGTAGCATATTATTAAGCCCTCATTTTGTTTTTGTCATACAGGAAGGGCCATATTGTTCTATAGGAATAGTCCATTTATTTTTGTAATTATCAGCCTTGAAAAATTGGGGTTTATCTCTTTCCCATTTTACTGTGTTGGCTCAATATCTTAATAGATATTTGGATCCATTTATAGGACATAAACCTTCAAGTTTGATTTATGAACTGTTCACAGTATTGTGGCTCAGGTTGTATAATTGTACTTATCCAAATTAAATAAGATTTCTAAAAATTAAGTATGTACTGCTAAGATCATGGAAGTAGCCCTTTCTGAGCATGTAAAGAATGTGGATACAGCAGCAAGGCCTGTAAGCCCAGGGTGTTTTAAAACAGAAAATGCAGACTCATCTAACACTGCGGAACTGTTAGAGGCTGGATTGTTTTTGTGTCGGTATGTGGTTAAGGTGAGGAAGTTGCCAATTGTAAGTGATAATTTACATTTTCAAGAATTGTCTTCCTGGCAGTTGTGCAATTTTGACTAGATTAAAACAGCTAAAAAAATATGGGTCAGCTTCAAAGATCATGTCCAATACACTTGAAAAATATCTCAAATTGAGTTCTAAAATGAAATTTAGCTCTGTAATATGGGGAGGATTACAGCTAACTGATGAATTTTGTGATTTTTATTTTAAGGGTTTTTAATGTGTGGATACCTGTTTAAAGGCCTGTAGAGTTTTCTGACAGAAGTATTAGAAAATGAATTAAGTGAGTAAAAGGATTTTTTCTGTCATTGCGGGAAGTCAAAATAATTTTTCATTAATACTTGTCTATAAATCACTTTCCTGAAACCTTACTTCTGGTTCGTATTGCCAGTGCGATGGAATGTTAAAAAAAAAAAAAAAAATTGGATTTGGAGTCAGATGTTTAGTTATGTTGAGCAAGTACTACAGTGTTTTGGGTTCCTGTTGTTTTCATTTGTGTTGTAAATAATAGCCAGTTGCTGTACTTCATGGGGTATTTGTGAAGATCAATCAGATATGAAAATGTTACCAATTTGTAAGAGTGACTCATGTAAAGTATTGGCCTTCTAGCATTCACATAAAGCATATGTATTTGAAGTGTGATGATTCAATGCAATATATACTTTTTTGACTGGGAAGTTTGGAGAAGAGTCAAAGGTGATCTTCATTTGATATTTCTGGTAGAGCTATTTGGCGGGTTTTGTTTGTTTGTTTTGATTGAAGGAAACTTGGCTCCTCTCCTGATTGTGACTTTGCATTCTGCTGCCTTAAAGGTCCTGAAACTGAAGTGTGCTTTTATGGTTGTGCTTTTAATGTTGGTTTTGATTTGTTTTAATCGCATATCTAAAGTATAAGGAAGATAAGTCTAACTTAACAGTAGACAGTGGATGTTGTTTTTAATATTTTAAAATAGCACTTTGAGTTGAACTGGTCCTCCGAGAGAGATAAATTCCATGTTAAGCACGGGTCTTTCAGTGTAAGAATTAGTTTAGGCTTAGCTGGTTTGGCCCAGTGGATAGAGGGTGGGCCCTGAGGACTGAAGGGTCCCAGGTCCCATTCTAGTCCAGGGCACATGTACCTTGGTTGCAGTCTCTGGTGGTGGGCGTGTGTGGGAGGCAACCAATCAATATATCTCTCTCACGTCCATGTATCTCCCTCTGTGTCTCTCCCCCTCCATTCCACTCTCTAAAACTCAATGGAAAAATACCCTCAGGTAAGGATTAAAAAATAAAATAAATAGTTTAGAACTTAGATGCCTCCTTCTGGGGAAGTCAGCTTTGCCTCTTAGAGCTAGGTTCACATATTCTATATAAATAAAAAGGTCTTTTAGAAACTTGTCAGTAAATTCTGATGACTTATGAGAATAAATACAAGTAAATCAGAGTAAAAGAAGAAAAATAGGTAATTTATCATGGGTTGGTAAAACAGCTTATTTGATTAGTTAATAATGCAAATAACATCTGCTAACATTTTTATCTAATGTTACTACTAGAAAGTAACAATAAACATATTTAATTTTTCTGTAATAAGGTGTGCAAACTTTGAAAAAATTGAAACAATAAAAACTTTAAAATTTCCTTTGTTTTCCATCTTTTCATCTTTTTTCTCAAATGAAAAAGCTGAAGACAATTGTAAAAAAAAAAAAAAAAACCAGGACTGTAATCCTTTTGTGAAAAGTATGTTTAAAATAAACAAAAATATAGCTTACTTGG